CCCCCCCCCCCCTTGAGTTTTACGTCATTAATGAACGCTTTTCCGATGAAAGCTTTTCTTTTACGCAAAGAAAAATTAGACTAAAAATATGTGCAGTAGATCAAAAGCAAATTTTTTCTCTAAATTAAAACATGTTTTTTAGCCATTTCTCAGTGTTAACTATAGATTACATGTAAGGGGGTTGGAGAAAAATGCGCGTAAGTGCAGTTTTTAAAAAAATTGATGTATTGATGATCTCAAGTAAAACTGGTCTGAATGCATATTCTATGAAAAATTCACTACCAAATTCAAATTTTAAAGCATCAAAAAGTCAGTTTAAACTTTCTTTCCTCCATGAGGATCCGCGTAATTTCGAAATTTGAAACACGTGTTTCTCAAAATAGCAAAAACTGCACTTACGCACCTTTTCCTCCAAGCCCCTCATTTCTCAAGAAGAGGTTTGAATATTCTATAGGTCTACACTAAGGAACGCGAGTAAGTGCATAAATCACAAGCGCAATTTGAGCTGTGAATTTGACAACACGGGTCTTAATCGTGTCGGTATTTACAGCATTCGCGCGGTTTGAATTGCTCGACAAGTCGTTGACATAAATCGCTCTATCCGCCGCCGAAAAATGTGGACCTGTTTCTGTCCTATTGAACAACGGGCACCTAGTTTCCGTACGAAGGTGAAGGTCCCCGTCTGGCCATTAATTCCGAACCAGTTCCTGTCCTGTAATTGTTGCCCCTACCAAACTTGACCGCGTGCATGGTCACCAGACGGATAGAGATAGACACGAATTGAGCAAGATGACTTTTTTTCCCTCCGGGCAAAGGCACTCAAGTTTTACGAGTTTTTCATAGTTTCAGATGGTTCCGCAATAGAAAGCTCGCATCATCTGTTAGTGAGTAAATTAACTCATAGGTAATATCTGAGCTTGAGAAGAATATTTAATTGAAGCTAAATCAAGTAAAAATGTTCTTGCTTTGTACGTAATAAAAACATAAGTATAGACAAGTGCATTGTTTGCCTCTCTCTTTCTTTCGCCCAATGCATCTCCTTCTCATTCTCTTCCACCTCAATTTTTTTCACTTTACTTTTCATCATCTTTACTTTATTTATATTTATTTGTTTTTTTTTTATTTTTTGAAAATTTCGTTTTAATTAAATTCACGTCTGTAATTTTTTTAAAATTATCTAAAAATAATAACGTTATGATGAAGTGGGGAATTTTTCGAGAAAACTCTTCTGAATTTTAAAAAAGAAGAATATATAGCCAAGTTGGGAATTTTTTTTATAACACTTTTAGAACGGTTGCAATTGCGGTTTTTATTGCGGCTGCACTTCTTTTCCGCCCACTTTCTCTTTTTCAGCCCCTTTTCAAAGTATCAATTCCGCCCACTTCATTTCCGCAGACATGATTTGTTGGTCAATTTGGCAACTGTGCTCCGAATAATCCCGCCTGCGTTAAATTCCACGAGTACATTAAAAAGTATTACATTGAGCCTACAGCACGCTACCCCCCTATCTTATGGGCTTCTGAATTTTCATCTGATTGCGTTACGACCACAAACGCTGTCGAAAGTTTTAATCCAAAACTACAGTTTGATTTTTACCACAGCCATCCAGATATTCAGAAGGTACTATCAAAACCTAAAACTTCACAAAGCATTATTTTATTGAAGATGAATTCGATTAAAAAAAATGAAATTTTCAAAAAAAGGCCACGCCAGGTGGAGCAGGATGAATGGATTCTCTGCACGACAGATGCATACTACAAATATAAGTACATTACGACGATACAATTTTTAGCCGAGATTGCCGAATTTAAGAAGCTACCCTCAAAGTTGACGATGAGTGAAGACTCGGAATTAGAAAACTGCGACCCAGACGATCCAGAACCGGTACTGTTGCTGGGCATTATAATCTTCAAATGTTGAGTGATTTTGTGATTTTATTGGTCTCTTCTCTTCCTAATTTAATTACTTTATTTCATTTCTTGATTTTTGTGCGACGTTGCCGCATACTCGGGAAAATAAGTGATTGTAAATGAAAGTGGGCGGAAACGATAATCGCCGCAACTGGGCGGAAAAGAGAAAACCACTTGAATTGGGCGGAAAAGCTAAACTGCCTTTATTGCAGTTGATATTTTGATGACGTGATTATAAAAAGAAAAACTTGGTCTTATTTATAAAAACTTAATTAGGGCGGGGCTCTTATTTTGCCGCATATAAATTCAGGTTTTCGTTTTACCCACTAACTTTATCTTTATCTTATGTTGTTCCTGGGAGATCATGGGTTTTCCTTATGCGTACCTACCCTACCCTGGCCTCGCAAGCATCAATTTTGTTTATTTTTTCCAATCCGTGGAACAATGACAAATTTTCGAATTCATATCATCCCCCTTTCCCCTAAAAAAAAAAAAAAAAAAAAATAAATAAACAACTTATACTACTCATCCAAGTCAACGAAATAGGAGTCACATTTTGGAGTATACTGCAAGTTTTAAGGTGATTTGATGGACGCCATATTTTGTGTCAGAACGACGTGCGATATATCGCATCGATTGGCTCTGTTTTTTCAGCTATACTAATCATTTTTCTCGAATTTTGAGATCGCAATTCTGTTGTCAGGAGAATAAAGCACTCACTTACCAATTTTTACAAACAAAGTCAACGTTATAAATGCGTGGTTTTTTTAGAGAGAAAACATCGCATTCGACACTGATATCGAAACTGCACTCGAAAGCGATATTTTCTCTCTAAAAAACGACGCCTTTATTACATTGAATATATTTGTTAAAATTGGTAAGTGAGTGCTTTAGTCTCCTGACAACAGAATTGCGATAGCAAAATTTTAAAAAAATGACGAGTAGCTGAACAAATGGAACCAATTGATGCGATATATCGCATGCCGTTCTGACACAAAATATGGCGTCCATCGAATCACCTTCAGCGCAATTTAGAGAAGAGCTCCCTCATTTTATCAGTATTGATTCAAAAGTTTCGTTACTGATTTTTGGAAAACGACGGTGTTTTAGGGTGGGGGGTCTTGGACCCAATGATGAATTCATACCTT